AAAAAAAAAAAAAAAAAAAAAGCTACCTGTTTGCATTTTGGATGTAAGATCTTCATACATTTTTTCCACTTTATTCACCCATCCCCAATTTTGTTTTAATATAACTTCAAGTAGTGTTCATAATCTAAAGATTATGCACATAACCCTTAAATTTCATCCCCCAAATTCATTTGTACTTCACAGTCAATACTTATTCATCAAGAAACATTCTAAGGATTAGCTAAACAATTATTACAAGAGTATTTTCATACAGAATATACTATATGAATGCTAGATAATTCTGATAGTTATAATGTATTTATTACAAACACTAAATTTTCTCACCTAGAAAGATAGTTTTGGCAAAAATTAAGTAAATATCATCGCCTGAAGCCAAGGCCTCGACTTGCGTTGTCCCACTGATCAGCACTTCTTGAAAGTCAATAAATTCACTGCCAGACCACCTGAGTAAAAGGGCATTTGGCCTGGCATTCACCTGGGAAATGGCTAAGAACACAGAGCCTCCTCTGGCGAACAAGGCCGCACTCAGCACGCCTCGGACGGGGAGTGTCTGGTGCAACACAAAGCTTCCTCCACTCCATCTGAAGACCTGGAGGGAATGTTCAAATACAAAATCCTTCATGACTAGGCATTCAGCACTTGTGAAAATTAACCAGTATCATATGCTTACTCTCCTGGACCCTTTATTTAGTTAGGAGGATACTTTTCTAAATAAGAAAATAGAAAACTGATGTTCTCTGGCTTTTTTCCTTTTTTCTTTCTTTTTTTTTTTTTTGTGTGTGTGTGTGTGTGTGTACATGAGCACACACACAGAACAAGTGAAAGAGAAGTTATTAGAAAATAAACCCACTTCAGATATATATCTGGGCAGGGGTCAGTGACAGCAAGAGAAAGGGATATCCAAACACAAGAGAGAATTAATTTAAATATGAAAAACTTAGAACTATACAAGAAACTTTCTGATTCTGTCATATCATTCTATACCCACTGCTCAAGCAACAGAATATAAAAAGAAACACCTAAACTGTTTAGTCCTAAAGATATCAATGCATACAAAGTTTTAGGGTGAATGTCCATATATTAAAATGAAACGCAAATCTCAAAGCTACCTGGTGTATTATACAATATGATCAATTTCAAAAGAATTGTATTTGTTCAGTCAACAATGGGGGACCTTATATGAGCCAAACATGATGGTAGGAGTGATGGACAGAGTGGCTTTCTCCCTTTATGGATCTAACTATAGGAAAAGACAAACAACAAAAACATCAATAATTAAACAAACCATGATTACTACATTGAGACAATTCCTGAAGATAACAAATGGGATGGTGTGACAGAGAATTATGCATGTACTAGAGAAACAGACCTCCATGGCAAAGTTTCTAAGGCAGAAAGTCTGTCATAAGCTGAATAAAGACTGGTCCAACAAGAAGGGAGTTGAAATTGCTGTGGAATAAAGACAGGTAGAACTGGAAAGATGAGAGCATAAGGTACCTTTCATTAGGGTGACCATAAAATTTATCACAGGGATCCTTTAGGGATCAAAGGGACAATATTAATAATAATATCAGGACAACAGGCATAATCTAGTACTATGCTGGGCAAATAAGGGTTTTAAGGTTATTCCACTTACAGTCCACATTAAATAACTTAGAATTTGTTCTAAGTATAACTGGAAATCATCGGATGGTTTTAAAATGAGGAATAACATGAGCAATTTAGTATTTTAGAAGATAACTCCAGCTTCCTGATGGAGAATGGACCTGGGGAAGTCAGAGCGGTAGCTCAGAGACCAGCAAGGAGGCTGACAGTGTGAGAGAGAAACGCAGCAGAGCTGGACTGGGGAGGGAGGAGCAGGGTCGGAAAAACATGTCTGTACTCAAAATATTATTGGGACATTATCACCAGAAACGTTTAGTAAGAGATTAGATGGGGGTGAATAAGAAGAGTAACATCCCAGAATTCTATTCTGAGCAACTGAATTCATGAGGTTGTTATTTCCCAAGAAAGCAAGCAAGTTTCATTGCAACAAGCTTCACAGAGAAAATCAGAGTTCAGTTTGGGATATGTTAACTCTTAGGTACCAGAAATATAGTTAAGTGAAGATGTCAATAGGCACTTAGATAGTTAAGCCTGGCATACAGAGAAAAGGCTACTGATAAATTTGGAAGACAGCCTATAGCTGATATTTAAAGTCATAGGACGGGTACTTAGAATGAGTAAAGAGAAAGAAAAGAGAAATTTGAGCTAAAACTGAACGATACTCTCCAAGATATTTAAGTTCAGAAAAGGGAGGAGGAACTGGCAATGGAGACTAAAAGGGATGGGCACAGAAAGATAAACAGGAAATCCATTTGATATCTTAGAAATCAAAATTTGAGATGGTTTAAATTTGAGGATCAAGTGACTGTCATATGCTAATGATGGCAGAAAAAAATCCACTGCATTTGCATCACAAGTGTGATCAGTGGCAATGAGCAGGTAAAGACAATGCAAGGTGTCTCACTATAAAGTGAAGAAAAGAAATGAAACCGGAAGGAGGAGATGAAATCAGGGTAGAAACTTCTTTGAAGCTCAGAGATCCTGCACTTATGTTGACTGTAATAATCCAACAGAGAGGGAAAGGCTAGTGATGCCAGACATAGAGAGAATAACCAACCCTTATGAAGGCAAGAGGAGCCGGGCTTTTACAGAGGGAACACCTCCTCCTTTGTAACAGGAGAGGGGACTGAGACTGGGTTCCAACAGGGTTTCTGAGTAATCTCCTTTCAGTAGCTTTCATTTCAGCAAAATCATTAGCTGGAAGTGAGGAGGTGAGAAACAGGTGTGGAAGCCCAGTGAATGACAGTAATTATCAAATAAGCATTACTGGATTATGAGATGTAGATTACTAGGGAAATGTGGGATTTCTGGGGTGATGTTGAGGGCCCATTTGGCAATGTGAATCATGAACTTTCAGCGATACCATCTGTCCAGTTGTTATTTTTCTCCAAAATGTTTTCCAACTCAATTAAATTTTAATTAAATGCTGATGCTTATTACATTTGCTCTAGCTCTTGAAGACACTATAATATTCATAACTCCATTGTTTAAAAATTAACTGCAACTAATCAATACCTATATTCTACTTCACTATTCTCCCACAATCAAATTATGGGATTTTTTAATAATACTCTTAGAGACTGTATCTCTGATGAGGTTCAGTTATACTATAGAAAAGAAAAATTCATTTTAAAAGAGTCAAACCTGGGTCAATTCAGAATCATCTCTCTGACTTGCAACAATTAAATAATGTTCATTTTCTGAAGTAAAGTATCTTACTTGAGAACTTTCAGAAATAATGATTGTTTGTACCTGCAAGGAAGACAGAATAGCGGAAATAAAAATTTAAAGGAGAATTTAACTAGAAAAGCCTCTGAATACAGTAATAGTATGATTTAGTATTTAAAGTTCAAAACTGGAAAAATCGTTCTGATCCCTAGGTATGAATACCTAGGTGTCATTTCAAGACTGACAAATTATCCTTGGATTAAGACCCTTACTAAAATGCGTATGACTTGCAAAAAGCCCATTTTAACATAACATAAAACATATATTATCTTCCATTTATATCACTCTTACAAATCTGATTTTTCTTTTAAATAAGCAATATACAAAAAAAAAAAAGGTTTTTTTTACCAGGAATAATTTGAAGCCAGATGTGAATGTATACACACTGTTAACAGAAGACTTTTCTTCATTTCTTCCTTGATGAGTAATCACAAAATAGGGGGAAAGACCAATATTAAAGGCCTCACAAGTTTTAGGATTCTGTATATTTAAATCCTAGGAAATAATGAAAAAAAAACAGTAATTTATGAGTCCTCCAAAATTTACATGTACATTTTATTCGTGCACTGTAAAATAAGTGACATTTACCTCGAGTGGAATGAAAATCCCTTGCCACCGATAAAGAGTAGAAGACAGTTTTCTTAACATTACACCATATACTGAATCTTCCAAAGTAAAGAAACACCAACCAGAAGGAGATGCATCCAAAAAACTTTGAAAAATGGAAAACACAACATCCACTCCCCCTGAAAAACATAAATCAAGATTTGCTAGTGTATAAGCCCTTCTAAACTTCATCTATTCTGAGTTTATTGTTAAAACACCGAGATGAGTGAATTTGTTACCAGAAAGAAAAATCATTCCATGATGGGTGTGTGGAAGAGGGAACAGATGAGCCAGAGAACTTAAAACTAAGATAACTTTTTTTAAAAGAACAAAATTTGTTGAAATTCTCCTCTTAACACACAGACTTTTCCAAAGTGTATTCATAACACTAAATGCATATTTTAAAGGAAAATATGTCCAATGTGATCTTTATCAACTTTCATAAAGATGATGAAAACATAACTGAGATATTTTTAAATACACAGATTTATAGAAACATGCTAAATATTAGGTTTCAAAAACTGACACTATTCATTTGAAACATGCCCCTCCAATGCTTTCTCAGTTTATGTGTTATATATTTTAAGAATGCCAAAGCAGATTCACCTACTTCAAATGCCTGTCAAGCTTTCATCAACATGCTGCAACAGGTACCTGTCCTAAAATTCTGTACTACAATTAAACGAAGACACAAACAAAAATATCCCTAGCTAATGAAGAATAAATTTTTTTATTATCATGCATTTGCCTAAAGAAAGTATTTCCTTTTTAAATTTTAGTCAATGGTGGGAACATGGTACAACATGAACAAATAAACATCCAGGTTGAAATCTAGGCTTCTTCAGGTGGAGAAAGACAAATGCCAAATGATTTCCCTCATTTGTGGAGTATAACAATGAGGCAAAACTGAAGGAACAAAATGGTAGCAGACTCAGAGACTCCAAGAATGAACTAGTGGTTACCAAAGGGGAGGGGTGGGGGTGGGGGACCGGTGCGGAGGGAGGGAGAAGGGGACTGAGGGGTATTATGTTTAGTACACATGGTGTGGGGGGTCACGGGGAGAACAGTGTATCACAGAGAAGGGACATAGTGGATCTCTGGCAACTTGCTGCACTGATGGACAATGACTGCACTGGGGTATTGGTGGGGACTTGATACTAGGGGTAAATGTAGTAACCACATTGTTTTTTCACATGAAACCTTCATAAGAGTGTATATCAATCACACCTTAATAAAAATTTTTAAAAAAAGAAATCTAGGCTTCTTGTATTTCACTGATCATTTTTACATTACCAGTTCAAGAAGTCGTAGTGTCAATGCCTTATATGTATTATCCATTAGTGATTTCCTTTCCTAGAAACCCAGTATTTTAAATCCCTATTTTGCCACCTTTTAAAGGTATGCTACAGCTTTTGCATTAAGAATCTGAATGTTTTACATTAAGGTCCTGACCATAAGGCCAAATTCTTCCCTAATACAGAAAGATGGTGAATGAAAAATAAGCAATGATGACATTTAAGAATCTCTAACATACACTTTTTCACAGGTACTTACAAAACATACATGCAAGGCCCAAACAATAATGAGAATTAGAAACCATCTGAATTAGAAACTGTCATCTTTTTTATATCCTATCTATTCCTGCCTTCTAGGCAATCGTACCACTATTAATCATCCCACCTCTCTTCTAAATATTCTGTCTTTCTCTACCAGTAAGGTCTTTTCCATCAGAGTGTAGACATGCTCCTCTCCAAACTAAACAAATAAACAAAAAAACAACCCTGAATCCTATACATCACTACCTTCATTAGGTACTACCTCCTCAGCTAAATCTCTTGAACTGGCTGCATATATTTGAGGTCTCCATTCCTTCACCTCCATTCAAAAATGTTATTCAGTTCCCATCTCTCTCTACAAACAGCTCTTGCTATTTTATGTCTTCTATATTGCTAACTACAATGGGTATTTTTGCATCTCATCTTACTGAAATTCTAACCAGGAATTGACAGTTCACCACTCCCTCCTTCCTAAAATTCTCCTCTGTTTCTATCTGTAATCCCATATTTCCTGGGGTTTCTCACCAGATCTTCTAAGTGTGCTTTGCTATGTCATTCTCCTGTCCTAGAAATTCAAAGGGAGACTTAGTGCTCAGTCTGGATCCTCTTTCCTTTTCTATCTACAGTCTCTCATCCCAAATTTTCACACCAATTTCCATGACTTTAAATACCATACACAGCTAAAGTTCTCAAACTTAACTCCGCAGAACACACCTTCCTTTGAGTGTATATACATGTCTTCTCAAAAGTAACTCAAATTCAAAATGAGTTAAATGTCATGTATTTTACTCCCCTCACCAAAATACACCCAGTCCTTATGCAGGAATCCTGTTCTTAATGACATGACTCTCCATCCACCTGCAGAAGCTGGGAATCTAGGAGTCATCTCTGGTACCTCCTTCATATCCAACCCATCACCTAATCCAAGCTACCATCACCTATTACCTATATTACCTTTTTGTTTGTCTTCTTTCACCCTCTCTTTTCTTCTCTGCCAATCCATTCTTTACATGGCACTGAGAATGTATCTTCGAAAGGCACACATGATTATACCACCCCACATACACACATGGTAGTCCTCCCCAGTGCCAAAGCCACACAGACTTTCCATTAACCTGACAAAAAAGACTGCAGTATATATGTAACACAGTCTTCGGTTCTTGAATATCTGTTCTTATATGCAGCTCTCCAAATGTATTGCCCTCCCTTATTTCTAAACCCAATTGTCCACTTTTCTTCATTTCTTCACTTACATGCTTTTTAATGCAACCAGACTTTTGTCTCAGTAACTCCCCACATTATCCTCCATGTTCCTCCAACTTAGGACTTTGCATAATCAAGCCCTACTCATCATTCAGTCTTAGTTCAAACACTAATAGCCCTTTGACACATTCCCTTATGTTTTCATAACACTTAGAACTCCCCCTTTAAAACATTTTTATAGTTTAAAATATTCACTGATTTTTGTTTATTTGATTTATTTCTGTCTCTCCCTAAATTCTAAGCTCCATTAGTTCAGTATCATGGCTGGTACATGATAGGCTCTCAATAAATATTTCTGGGTGCAATAAACAAATTAGGTATCTTTTCTCCACTTTCAGTAGATCCATAAGACACAATTTATGGAGAAAAATGTAAATCTCATGCATACAATTTTTGTTGGTTATACAATTTTATTCTTATAAGCAACTACACATACTCATGCCAAAAGCTGTTTCAGATATTGTCTCCCACTCCACACTGACAGCTAAATCAATGCCATTAGTACGTGACACCTTTAAATAAACAGTGCTGTTGGCTTCTTCAATGTCTACAGAGGTGGCTCTAAAAAAAAAAACAAATGGATTGCAGAGAGCAGAAAAAGAACATAATATCTGCATATTAAATATATATATCACATTGCTAGCATATATTTAATACACTTTAAATTTACACCAGACAAGATAAGATCCATCTGCAAATTTTATACAGCAAGAAGACTAGATTCTACTTCAAAAATATTCAATTATGAAGATTTTTTAAAGTGCTACAATCTGATACTGAGAGTTAGTTAACTTCAGTAACTTCATAGTACATAGTCTACAAAACAATAAAGCTTTGTCATTCCTAAGTTTCACATGAACTAAAAATATTTTATGAAAAAAAATGAATCAGGAAATTCTTAACATATTAATAAAAGTATATCAACAAAGAGGTTATTTATTAATTTAGGTTTATCAGATTAAAAAACTAGAAATATCAGAGTATTTGTAAGATTTAAAAAATATTCATCAGCATACAAATTTTAAAACTACAGTCACATTAATAAAAGTTTGAAAAATCATTCGACTTGAGCAGCTAAATACAATTTATACTATTTCTCCCTTTTTATTATTATTGAAAATACAAAATAGCACAAGCCTTTACCTTAAACTGTGAATTCTGAGAAAATAAGAATTCTATTAACACCATTTTATATATATGTAGGACATGATGAGGCTTTTGATACTCCTTGTTACATTAGAGGGCATGTGGACTCTCTGAATCTGTCACAGCTCATTGTAAAAGTTGCCTTTAAGATAGTAATAGACCAATTTCCTTCTGCATTTTATGTCAAAAGATATTTCTTACATAGCTTCAGGAGTGACAATTTCCTTATAAAGAACTATACCTATTTGCGACTGTAGAAATACTGAATAGCCCCAGAGGGGCCTGGTTTTGCAAAACTGTTATCAGGGTTTGAACACGTGCCCCTAGTCTAGCACCTCCAGTTGGATTAAACAAGGTGCAAACAAAATGCTCATCCATTTCTGGTTCTGTGTCCAATATGGCAGATATGTGTAGGGTCTGAAAACAAAATCAGAAGATACAGTTACTAGACTATAGTATTTCTGCAACACACACACAGAGACATTTACTAGACATTTTTTACAACAAAATAATACATTTTAGAAAAGATCACTTTTTTATTTTATTACTGATCCTTATAATGCAATCATTACAACTATTTGTTTCAAGATACTATTTTTAAGATTTTTAACATTGTGCTATATTGCACTGAAGTGTATACAAATAAATGTTTATGACATTTAAGATTAACGTTGAGATTAAAAAATTAAATTTAAAAGATTTTTAACATTGTGCTATATTGCACTGAAGTGTATACAAATAAATGTTTATGACATTTAAGATTAACGTTGAGATTAAAAAATTAAATTTAGGTCTCATGTTTGCTAGCTCATTATCCGTCCCTAGCTACATAACTGCATTAGTCTCACTCTAGGATTCACTATTAAAAAGCAGTTTAGCCAGAGCAGTCACAAACCAGAAACAATCCTCCTGTTTATCAACAGAATGGATAAACAAAAAGTGGTCTACTGAATGAAATGCTATTTCGCAATAAAAAAGAACCAACTACTGATGTGTCAACCATAAAAACATCAAAAATTATGTTGCACAGAAGAAGCCAGACACGAAAGAGTATACACTAGTATGACTCTATTTATACAAAGCTCAAGAATCAGCAAAATGAGACTGTGATGATAGAAATAGGCAAGTGGTTTCTTCTGGGGAGGGCAAGGGACAAGGAGGAAACTCCTAGATGATAGTAATGTTCAGTATACTAACCAAGTGGTATTATGAGTATATACAGAGTTTTAAAGTCATTGAGCCTTAAAATTTTTAAGGTTTTTGTATTTTACTGTTTATACTTCAAATAAAAATATATGGTGAAAAAATTATATGGGTGAAAGAAAAATCTATGTAATCCAACTTGCTCTAACATTTAATTTGCCTAATGAGCAGGAAGTCCTTTAAATAACACTTTGAAAAAGACTTTTAAGGAAAAAAAATCACAGTAACAATATAATTAAAAATATACAAAATATTAAAGTAAAATTTAAAACATTTTTAAAAGAAAGAAAAAGCATATGAATGTAAAGCAATGGCAAATCATAAAAAAACTGCAAATCTGATATGCCTCTGTCAAGACGGGTCCCTGAACAAATCAATTAAAGGTTCTAAGAATATAAAAAAATAGACTTGGAAATGAATATGAATCCAAAAATGTTCAAGATTTTTAACATTGTGCTATATTGCACTGAAGTGTATACAAATAAATGTTTATGACATTTAAGATTAACGTTGAGATTAAAAAATTAAATTTAAAAGATTTTTAACATTGTGCTATATTGCACTGAAGTGTATACAAATAAATGTTTATGACATTTAAGATTAACGTTGAGATTAAAAAATTAAATTTAGGTCTCATGTTTGCTAGCTCATTATTATTGCTAGCTCATAATAATAACTTCATTATTGTTGAAGTTTAAACAAACTGATCATAAATAAAATTACCTAATTACTGAATGTACTATTTTTAGATGAAGTGGTTTTAAATATATTATTTTAGAATTTAATGTTTTATGAAACTAGCTTGAAGAATGTCTTAAGCTAATGCAATTAGTTATTTTAACCTGTTTTAAAAATAAAGTTTAGTAACAGGAACAGAAAATTATTAATATATGAAAAAAGAAGTTCTGAAGGTAAACTGCAAGTTTGGATTACATTTGTAACTAATCCCAAATCTAGCATTTTTTTCTCCAATAAGCCATTGGATACTTGTAGAAAATACCTTACTTACGATACTTGTCTCTCAAACAAGCAGTCTGAAGTAAGCAGTTACACTTTGTTTAACGAAAATGTAGGGAAGAAGGAATGATTGGCTAGGACTTAATGACTGCAATGAATGCGTGGAATCTCTTTTATGTTTCATAGACAATATAAAATGCAGTATGCATTTAAATATACTTGACACAGCAATATGTGTATTTTCTTTATTATTTGTACATTCCACTACCCTACTATGAGCAAATTTCTCCAGGTGCACTCCATACAGACTATACAGCATTATTATAGCACATTCACATGTACACTAATCATCTTTACCTGTCACCTAAGCTGGGAGTGCGTTTCCTTCTTTTTAGGCAATTCCTTCCAGAGAAAATAATTTTGTAAATATTATTCATTCTCATTAAAGGTTCATACTGTACCTTGAAGCGAATACCTTCTGCTAAAACAATATAGCCTTTGGAAGGAGACAGATCTTTAGACTCCAGAGAAGAATTTACTTCTGTCACAATAAACTGAACTGTCACAGTTCCAAACAGTCCTTGTGCAGGTTCCCGAACAATGTGCAGTACTGCAACGCTCTCCTCTACATAGAGAGCTGTGGGTTCTGTCAGGAGGAAGTGCTCACTGTTGTTAAATGACAGAACTCCAGGGCCATCATCATTACCAAGGACAGTAATTGAGGCTGTCAAAATAAAATTAAAGCAATAAATGGAAACAGAATGGGTTATAAGTACTGGAAAGTATGTAGATGTCTCACCCATAAGCTAGGCTAACTCCTTTCTAGGTCACCTTAAAAACAAGGGAAATTTTGAAAGGCATCCAGTAAAATTCCATATTTACTCATGATATAAAAATATTCAGTAACCTTGGAAGATAAGACAGCTTTCTCAACCTGATGAAGTGATATATCTCAGATGCCAATAACAAATAGAAAAATGAATGCTGAAACGTAAGAAGGGTTGTCACTAAAAACAGAAACAAGACAATGATGCCTGTCATCACCGCTACTATTCAGTATCGTCCTGGAGCTGTCAGCCAGGTAACAGGTGAAAAGTAATGGAAAGGAAGGGTCAGAACTGTCACTATTTTCTAGATGATAACTGACTTCTTAGAAAATGCAAAAAAAAACAATTATTACAACTATTATAAGAGTCCAAGCTATCAGCTGAGTACAAGTAACCTTCACAAATCCAGAGCCTTCTATTTTTTTGCTACCACTAATGTTAATAACAATGAAACAACTAATGCTACTGAGAATTGCTTAACCTATATTAACTTAGTTTATTCTTACAATAACCCCATGAGGTTGATTCTATTAGTATTCTCATTTTACAGAACCACTGAATGAAGCACAGATGGGCAATCTATGGAAACTCACAAGCTAGAAAGTGGCAGGACTGGTGCTCACAGCTAGGAAGTCAGTTTCAGAGCAAGCGTTCTAAAGGTTATTATGGTGTCTCTATTCATTAGCTGTAACTATTTTAAAAGCATAACAAAGAGGTAACCTCATTCATATTCAAGCAATACTTAGGGGTCAAGGTAAAAATAAGTCAGACCTATATGAAAAATGACAAAATGTTAATGTGGACAGAGGCAGATGCTGTCAGCGCCTCGGCCATACCCGTTTGGCCCACTCGAGTCACCTTCAGCAGCTCCCTGGGCCCTTGGTCTCTCTCTGAAGAACATCAGCTCATGCAAGAAACAGGCCAGAACTGCTAGAGACTTAACACCCAAGAGCAATCCTCAAGGAGGCCTACAAGTTGGTGAATGAATACCCCAACTTCCTTCCTCCTCAGAAGGACAGCCCTGAGCTTTGTCTAAGAAGGACCCCAGCAGGACTATCCATGACACACCTATCAGCTTTCCTCTCCCTGTGCCTCGCTTCATTTCTCACTATGCCTCCAGAGGTGACTGCCCAAAATAAATTAGTCCCATCCAAATCCTTGTCTCAGGGTTTACTTTTGAGGGAACACAAACTAAAGCAATGATATGAAAGAAGACCTAAACGAATGGAGTGGCATATTGCTAAATGGAAAAACACTATTATAATGATGTTGAGTCCACCCAAATTGCTCTAAAATTTCAATTCAGCCCCATTCAGAAGTTGTTTGTGGAGCTCAATTTGTCAATTCTAAAATTTACATGGAAGAGACCATTTGAAAGAAGAGCTGAGATGATTTAGAGAAAGAAAAATAAAGAAGTATGTGGTCTAAAAAATAACAATATGTATTTTAAATCTATGGTAAATATAAATAAAACAGTATGAACATATAACAGGCAAACAGAACAAAATATTCTCCAGGAAACACAGACAGATAATACATAAAAATAAATTTCACATTGAAAGACAATGGCAAATAGATGCCTCATGCTCTGTATTGTATTAGGGTACTCATTATACATTTTAGGAGAAAAATGAAATTATATCCTTGCCTCACTTGCTACCAGTGAATAAGTTCATGGTATGTGAAATTATTAAATGCAAATCAAAACTATGAAAGTATAAGAAAAATACAGTAAAATATTTCACAGCTTTGGAATACAAAAGATTCAAATAAAGAGGATTTTAAAACCTATCATAAAATACATGATGTTTTAAATACTCTAAAAATTTTGTAAGAAAAGAGACCACGACATACTTAGAAGATAAATGATGGACTGAAAGAAACTACAAAATACTTAAATAAACAAAGGATTGACATAGGAATAAACTATTCCTATACACCAATAAAAAGCACAAACCACACAAAAGCACATTAAGAGATACAAAAAGCTACTCACAGAAAGAAAAAAAAATACTAGTGCCAGAAACAAGTAACTAGTGTCAAACTCACTAATGAACAAGGAAATGAAAAAAATGTACAATACAACCACATTTTTTTATTAAGGTATCACTGATATGCAATCTTATGAAGGTTTCACATGAGCAACATTGTGGTTACAACATTCACCCATATTATCAAGTTCCCCCCAATAACTCATTGCAGTCACCATCCATCAGCATAGTAAAATGCTATAGTCACTGTCTTCTCCAAGCTATACTGCCTTCCCCATGAACCACCTACATTGTGTGTGTTAATCATAATGCCCCTTAATCCCTCCTCCCTCTCTCCCCACCATCTTCCCTTTGGTTAACTACTAGTCCTTTCTTGAACTCTGTGAGTCTGCTGCTGTTTTTTTCCTTCAATTTTGCTTCATTGTTATATTCCACAAATGAGTAAAATCATTTAGTACTTCTCTTTCTCCACCTGGCTTATTTCACTGAGCATAATACCCTCTAGATCCATCTATGTTGTTCCAAAAGGTAGGATTTCTTTTCTTCTTATGGCTGAGTAATATTCCATTGTGTATATGTACCACATCTTCTTTATCCATTCACCTACTGATGGACGCTTAGATTGCTTCCACATCTTGGCTATTGTAAATAGTGCTGCAATAAACACAGGGGTGCATATATCTTTTTGAATCAGGGATCTTGTTTTCTTCTGGTAAATTCCTAGGAGTGGAATTCCTGGGTCAAACAGTATATCTATTTTTAGTTTTTTGAAGAACCTCCATATTGCTTTCCACAATGATTGAACTAATTTACATTCCCACCAACAGTGTAGGAAAGTTCCTCTTTCTCCACATGCTTGCCAGCATTTGTTGTTCCTTGTTTTTTGGATGTTGTCCATCCCTAACTGGTATGAGGTGATATCTCATTGTGGTCTTAATTTGCATTTCCCTGATAAAATAGCAATATGGAGCATCTTTTCATGTGCCTGTAGGCCATTTGAATTCCTTCTTTGGAGAAGTGTCTGTTCAGATCCTCCACCCATTTTTTAATCAGGTTATTTGCTTTTTGGGTGTTGAGGCATGTGAGCTCTTTATGTATTTTGGATGTTAACCCCTTTTGATGTAATTTTGAACTTGGTTTGCTAATATTTTATTGAGTATTTCTGCATCTATGTTCATCAGGGATATTGGTCTGTAATTTTGTTTTTATGATGTCTTTGTTGGTTTTGGTATTACAGTGGCCTCATAGAATGAGTTTGGAAGTATTTCCTTCTCTTCTACCTTTTTGGAAAACTTTAAGGCAGATGGGTATTAGGTCTTCTCTAAATGTTTGATAAAATTCAGTGGTGAATCCATCTGGTCCCAAAGTTTTCTTCTTAGGTAGTTTTTTGGTTACCAATTCAATTTCATTGCTGGTAACTGGACTGTTCAGATTTTCTGTTTCTTCCTGGGTCAGTCTTGGAAGGTTGTATTTTTTTAGAAAGTTGTCCATTTCTCTATGTTATCCAATTTGTTAGCATGTAATTTTTCATAGTATTCTCTAATAATTCTTTGTGGTGTCTAATAATTTCTGTGGTGTCCATAGTGATTTTTCCTTTCTCATTTCAGATCTATTTACATGTGTACACTCATTTTTCTTGATAATTCTGGCTAGAGGTTTATCTGTTTTGTTTATTTTCTCAAAGAATCAGCTCCTGGTTTCATTGATTCTTTCTATTGTTTTATTTTTCTCAATTTTATTTATTTCTTCTCTGATCTTTATTATGTTCCTCCTTCTGCTGACATTGGGCCTCATTTGTTCTTCTCTTTCTACTTTCATTAATTTTAAGTTTAGACTGTTCATTTGGGATTATACCTTGAGGTAAGACTGTATTGCTGTATACTTTCATCTTAGAACTGCCTTTGCTGCATCTCACAAATTTTGGGGTGTTGAGTTGGTGTTCTCATTATTCTCCATATATTGCTTGATCTCTGTTTTTATTTGGTTATTAATCCATTGATTATTTAGGAGCATGTTGTTAAACCTCTATGTGTTTGTCAAATTTTGTTTTCTTTGTATAATTTATTTCTAGTTTCATACCTTTGTGGTCTGTGAAGATGGTGGCACAATTTCAATCTTTTTGAATTTATTGAGGCTCTTTTTGTGACCTAGTATATGATCTATTCTGGAAAATGTTCCATGTGCCATTGAGAAGAATGTGTATCCTGCTGCTTTTGGGTGTAGAGTTCTGTAGATGTCTGTTAGGTCCATCTGTTCTAGTGTGTTGTTCAGTGCCTCTGCCTCCTTACTGATTTTCTGTCTGGTTGATCTGTCCTTTGGAGTGAGTGGTGTGTTGAAGTCTCCTAAAATGAATGTGTTGCAATCTGTTTCCCTCTTTCGTTCTGTTAGTATTTGTTTCACACACTTAGATGCTCCTATATTGAGTGCATAGGTATTTATAATGATTATATTCTCTTGTTGGACTGACCCCATTATCATTATGTAATGTCCTTCTTTATCTCTTGTTACTTTCTTTGTTTTGAAGTCTATTTTGTCTGATACTAGTACTGCAACATCTGCTTTTTTCTCCCTGTTGTTTGCATGAAATATCTTTTTCCATCTCTTGACTTTTAGGGTGTGCATGTCTTTGGGTTTGAGGTGAGTCTCTTGTAAGAAGCCTATGGATGGGTCTTGCTTTTTTATCCATTCTATTACTCTGTGTCTTTTGATTGGTGCATTCAGGCCATTTACATTTAGGGTGATTATTGAGAGGTATGTACTTATTGCCATTGCAGGCTTTGGATTTGTGTTTATCAAAGGTTCAAGGGCAGCTTATCTACTATCTAACAGTCTAATTTAACTCCCTTATTATGCTATTCAAACAAAATCTAAAGGTTCTTTTTTTTCCCCTCCCTTCTTTTTCTTCTTACTCCACTCTTTATATTAGGTGTCATATTCTGTACTTTCTGTGTATCCCTTGACTGACTTCATGGGTAGTTATTTACTTTTGCATTTGCTTAGTAATTAATTGGTCTACTTCCTTTACTGTGGTTTTATTTTCTCTGTTGACAGCTATTTAGGCTTAGGAGCTCTTCCATCTAGAACAGTCCTTTTTAAATACACTGTAGAGATGGTTTGTCAGGGCTAAATTCCCTCAATTTTTGCTTATCTGGAAATTGTTTAATCCCTGCTTCAAATTTAAATGATAATCTTGCTGGATATAGTATTCCTGGTTCAAGGCCCTTCTGTTTCACTGCATTAAATATATATATCATGCTTCTCCCTTCTGGCCTGTAAGGTTTCTACTGAAAAGTCTGATGACAGCCTGATGGGCTTTCCTTTACATGTGATCTTTTTTCTCTCTGTGGCTGCTTTTAATACTCTCTCCTTGTCCTTGATCTTTGCCATTTTAATTATTATATGGCTTGGTGTTGTCTTTCTAGGGGTCTCTTGACAACCACATTTTTTTTTTATTCATTAGAATTGGTTTTTTAAAGAATGTTAAAAACCAAAGAAAACTCCTGGTGAGGATGTGGAAAAACAACAATTTTATATGCGCACTTTGGAATATAAGTAATATGGAAGGCAGCTAGTGTCCTTTCCACTCAACATCCACCCATTGCACTCAACAGATAATCCTAACTGTCCACATATACAAAGACTTATATACAAGGATACTTACTGAGACTTTACGAAAGTTTGAAAATAGTCTGAAAGTTGATTAATGGTGTATAGCTTAAGAAATTACCCACTATCAAAGCACTTACTGTTGTGAGGCAAATTTTTATACTTAAAAGTGGAAAATTATGAGCATCAAGTAAACTTGACAGAACCCAGTAAAAAATTCTTTCTTCCTCCTCATAGTGGTGGGCATGTAACCTACATAATTCTAATCAAAATTTTATCAGGACCTTTCAGGAATGCTTTATTTTGAAAACTCTATCCTGTTACATGGAGTATACAAGAATGCTGCCTGTGACCATCTTGTGACAACTAACGAGCCTTGGGATGAAGCTAACACTCCAAAAGGCAAGGAGAAGAGACACAAAACAACAGGGTGTTTTGGGTACCTGGCCCCACCTCATCTAAAACTATGTGTCTCTGGACCATTTCACTCAATGAGCCAATACATTACCTTTAAGTCAATTTGAATTGGGTTTTCTGTTGGTTATACACAGAAGATTCTTAACCAATATAAAGAATTCATTCCTACAACCCTTTACATAAACCTACTAAACTTTATAACAAAGAAATCTGAATCAATTATCACAGTCCCCCAAGAAGATTTTGAGGACTTAGGAATAGCAATTTATTGTATCAATATAGCAATAAAAGTAAAAACCAGTTCTTCAGTTATTTGAAAGTCTTTCATGTTTTTTACAACAAATCAGATTTTTTCACATGAAGAACAATAATTTAGGAATACAAAGGTTAGTTAAATTAAGGGAATCTCAAACTCTCAGCCGCTAGCTAAAATGGGAGGTTGAAGAGTCATCAACACTCAGTCTTCTAAATCCACCTGATTTATCTATCACCACAAGGAACTGAATTGACTTTTTAAGAGCTCTTCTAACCCTAAAATACTGTATTTCTCTGCAGTTTTTTCGTCTCATTTTTTTGTCTTTTCCAAGCAGGAAGCATGATATCTAACGAGCGATGAACTAGAATGCCTTTTTGTACCAAAGTCAAACTGTTCCAACCAAAGAATTATGACTCCTATAATCCATATGAGGTATCAATACACTTCAACTCTATGTAGAAAAAAAAAGAGCAGTTAAATGGCACTAGAACAACTACCTTATTATATTCTTTATAGCTAAACAGGAAACCAGTGCAGAACCAAATTACGAAGAAAAAATATTCACAAATTAAAACCTACAATAACTGCAGAAATGATTTGATATTATCATTGCTATCAACAGACTTTTTCATTTTACACACACACCCACATAAACACACACACACACACACACACACACACAAATATACACAACCAAATGCAGACTAGAAGCATTGTTAACCCTTGACAGGAATTCCAAAATGCCTGTAAGCACAGAAAACTATTAAGATTCTTCTCAACCCTTTACATCTGTCTCCATATTCAGAAAACAGTGCAAGCGAGAAGGTACTGTCAGTAAGAAATTATCAATTACCTATTGTACTTTCCCCCAGCTCTAGTCCAGGAGAAGGATTTGTTAGTATCAGCTGAAATGTTTCATCTGCTTCTGGAATGTCATCATCAAGAATTGTGATGTCAACATTTTGATACCTTTCTCCATCAGCAAAATAAAGAACCTGGTCAAAAAAGGAAAAGTAGGCAGTATTATATGTAAATGCACTCTGAGTTTTTATAGACTGTTTAGAAAGAAATAACAGTTGTGAATTTTGTGAAGTAAGTTATTTTACAGCGATTTCTTTCCCTTACTTTTTTACATGGTCTCTTTTTATTAAATTGACAACATTAAGTTAAAAAAGTAAAAGTTGTGGAGTAAGAGAAAAAAATTAAACATTTGACTAAGGAATAAAATGCATGAAGAGACAAAGTAAAAGCATTTTAAAACACTAAAGATATCTCAGTAAATTAAAACAAACAGAACAGTTAAAACTTTCAAAAAGCGTAAGAAACACTCTAGGAAGTTGATCTAATGATATAAATTCTTTAACATGATAACTTGTGCTCTTCAATATCAAATACTGCACTATGATACTGAGTGAATAAAATAACATAGAATATTGCAATAAAATAATGAATGAAATAAAATGTAGAATCATCTTTAGTACTGAAAATGCAATTTATCTATGTTCCTAAAATAGCAAAGTAAGCCATTCTACAATGTGGAAGACCTCTGCTCTAATTTACTCAGAATATATAATAGCTTATTATTTTAAGATTAGTTTGATTATAGAGGACCTAAACCATTATAATTCTCTATGAATTCACCATTGGGGTGAAGCTGTAATCCAGCCCCAGCTGGGCTTCCAAGTTCTGGGCATACACAAAGAAAGAACCGTGGCCAAGAGCTCCTTTGCTCCTCTGGGCTACTAATGTTAAAGTTGCTTGGGTTTCATTTACTTCAAACCTACAATAAAGAGAATCCATTATTTTTCCTTATAAGCTTTTGTTCAGTTGATAATAAAAAATCTGAAACACAGAGAAGGGCTCTCACGCAGCCTTGGGTTTACCTGCTGTGCTGCCATTCAATTATGCCTTGAGCACCATCATTGGCGTCAATAACAATTTGTGCTGTCAAGCCCTCTGAATCTGAGAAAAAAATAGAAACATATCTTTAAATAAATAGAAATGATTAAAAGATTTGATAGAGAATTTAAAGACTACCCCTTTGTGATAACATAATTCCCAATAAGAGGAACTGTGAACATTACTCAAAATATTTTAAGAAAATAAAGATATAATGCTTATAACATTTGAATAAGGGAACTTGTTGCTAACAAGAGCCAATGACTTAAGGAAATCTTATCAATTGAGAGCAGTATAAAATTAAGCAACTGTGATTATGGTTTGTTTCTACTATTTTAATCCATTTCAAGAGGAAAGGAAAATGGAGACAGTTGGAAAGAGTAGAAATAGCAAGAAAAAAAGACATGGGAAGTGATGTTTTCTTCCATCTGCTACTCATATAGCTTTTCTTCTTCCTTCCTAATTACAACCCTTAAACAGAATTCGTGCCTCATATCAAACTTACAGAGAATCATAATTCTTCCAAGTGGTAAAGATACCTCAAGACAAATACTGGGCATAAAAGCCACAGGGCATAAATCTGCAAAGAAGTAAAAAGCTAACCTTTTCAAACAATATTGCCTCTCTCTCACTTACCAACTTTACATTTCCCTGTATGGCCCCAGAAGATGACTGGTTAGCCAGAGACGGGTAAGATTCCTCAAGGGAGGAACAACCTAAGACAGGCACAGTCGCAGGGGGGCCATCAGGTGAGAAATTGGGGATCAACAGAGGTGAGGCTTAGAACCTCACCCCCC